CCTCCTTCCCCACTCGTATGACAATTCCTCGATGTATAACAACGAATCTATCAGCCTCCGCAATACGATTGAGAATGCCTGCTGTAAAGAATGGTCGACGATACTTGACAAATGAAAGCTCATTGTCAATTTTTGTTCAACGTATTCCATAAAGCAAAAGTACCTGGCGAAAATCTGGCAGTTGATGATCCTTTTGCACTTTATTTTACTAAAAATTTTAGGAAGCGTTCTAGTGGAAGTCTGAGTCCGTAGTAGGCGTGACCAATTTCAATAAAATGCCCAGCTTAGCGCCCAATTAGCGCTCGAATCCTGCACCGAGCCCGCCACTTGCCCGCCACCATCTCGAACGCAATGTCTGAAAATCCAGCTCCTGAATACGTTACTGTTTGCGATATTCAGGAATGGTCCTGTAGGCCTTGATCCGTTTACTATCTGTAAAGTTTCCACCGATTTTTTTGCCCCGAAGCACCTGAACGTCGTCGAGGACATCGCCAATTGGATCCGATTCCCAATGAAATATATCTGGAAACAATTTCTGACATAGGCGACCAGAAATATATAAGCAATTTAGCTCTAACTTGTCGATTTTTCGCATCTGTGCTCATTCCGAAGATTTTCAGCAAGATTCTCATCGAGCCATGCCTCAACGAGGCTTTCGGAAGATGGCAACTTGCAAAACCCAAACTTCTCAGTGTCATCTGGGAGAATTCTGATCCAGTAGCGATCTCGCTTCGCGACATGTTGAAAACCTTATTGTTCGATTACTTGCAACCTCACCTACTTCGCTACTGAGGTTCGTCGAGACAACATTGCGGCATTCGCCCAATATAGACACTTTGGCTATGTACAGAATGATCTGGCCAAAATTGTTCAAGAATATCCTGCAGCTCCCAAAGGTATCCTCACTAACGTTGTTCTTGCGTCACGCGAACCACGATATAACAGACGCTGATATCATTTCTTGTGCGTCCAGTCTTCGATTGGAATCTCTCAATTTGCAACTTTCTTGGACGGTAGAGCATAAAACTCTAGTAGCGGCAACATTTGTCCCACTTGCTGCAATTCCACACCTCAAAGAGTTTGAGACAGATTCCTGGCAAGTAATAAGCGGGTTGGCTTCAAAACAAACTCTCCCTCTATTGCAAAAGCTCAGGGTTCGCAGGATAAAGGATCTGATACTTTGTACAGACTTCTGTGCCGGATTCCGACCCTCGTCGATCTTACATTGACGGAGGTTTATCTGCCGGAAGACGCGAAGATTCCTGCGGTATTGCTAAAAGAGACGTACACAGATAGTGGCTGATTTTTCACTTTCCCTTTCATCATTACTGAATCTACGAAGATTTGTCCTCCCTCCACATCTTGCATATCTTTTAACCGGACCTCACTCTCTCAAAGACATAGAGTTCACAGAAGAATTCGAGTCTGATGCAAACGCTCGAGGTCTTGTGGTTCTGCATGACCTCTGGCTGTCCGCAGATATCAGGCTATTATTTGACAGCCCTTGCTCTCATGTTGAACACGTCAGATTTTTGCCCTGTACAGCAGTGATAGTAGGAGCTCATTGGTATAGGAACATGGGGTTGTGGTTTCCAAACTTGCATTCCCTGTCATTCGAGCTGTTGCTTGATTTTGAATTTGGGCAGGACGATTTTCCCTTTGAGGAGCAGATGGAAAATGTAAGTTCGGCAACTCTCTAATTCACGAGTCGCAATCTTGTAACCCGAATTGACCATTTGATCTAGGACTTTAAATCCTTTCTTGACACGTGGGGCCGACTAGAAACTCTTCAGGAATTATGTTTCAACTTTGAGTCGCGTATAGACTTTTCTCCTGTGAGCGTCAATACGGACTAGCTCCAAGTGTTGGCTTCGAGATTAGAAATTAAGAAATACTTTCCGAATCTCCTTTCCATGCAGTTTGGAAGATATTCCAAGGGAGCTAATATCGTTTACAGTGAATAACCTTGTCGATGTGCCAGTGTATTTTACTCCAGTGGAGGTAACGATATGCAATCGATTTGCACCACAATTCTCTTTAGGACTGGATAAGATTTGCAATGGAGTGTAGAAAGATGGATCCGGTGGGTCAGCCCTGGGATTTTGAGAGATTGAGAGAGAGCATAAGCTCTCGGCCCATGGAAAGTTCGCCCATATCGGCTATGGTGAAATCCTGACTTAAAATCCGAGTTTACAAATCTCTGCTGGCTATATACGGCTGATTCGGGCTGAATATCGCGGCCGTGACCGCCTTTGTTGAACACCGTTGAACACGCTTCACAAACTACAGTTGTATATCTGAAAAGCTGCATAAGTCCGGTCTCGCACTATAGAGTAGAATTGACTCCGCTGATATAATTTGCTGTGTAGTCTCTTCAGATCAGAGAGCCATCGAGGACGCGACACGAGCCTTGCTTCAGGAATTTCATTTCGCTTAGTGGACCTATAGCTACGAAAACCTCAATCGTTGGCATTAGAGGAATCCGCTTGTTTGTCACCGCAGCCTTCCTACTACTTCAACGATAAGCGTCAAAAAACAAAAAGTCAGGGACTCGGAGGGTTCAAGTGTAGATATAGTTACCGGTGGTGCGATTCGAGCCTGACAATCAAAGCCATCAATACATAGAACCGTACTACAGTGTACACAGCAAAAACAAAAAAAAAAAACAAACCACAGATACAAGTTCGTACCGTTTCTATGAAGTATTCAGATGGTGAAATACGATATGATATAAGATAATATCCAACTGAGCAAAAAGTCTAGACTGAAAATCCAAAGAAGGGACACGTGTAGGGAGAAGACAAGCTATCTTCTCCCTCGCCCTCTCGTGCTTCCATTACCCATTACCTATCAGCCATTACCCGTACCCAACCTTCCTTCCCTTCCCTTCCGCCAACACCCCAAAAAACCCAATTCCACCTAGTAATCTCCGACGAATCATCTCCGCGTCCCCCTAACCTCCCTCTCAACATCTACAATCTCCTGCACACCCTCCCTCACCGCAACCACATTCAACTCCACCAACCCCCTCCTCGTCTCAAACACCGACGTAGGCAGCAACACCAACAGTACAAGAGTTGGGTTCGGGTACGTTTGGAAAGCCGCAGACCCGGACGACGATGTCAATGTCCGTTCCGCCTTGGACTTGGACTTGTCACCCGTATCCACCACTATCGCCATCTTCTTCTTCCCATCTCCATCTCCGTCTTTATCTCCATCGATAAACGGATGATCCTTACCATGACCATTACCATTATCATGACTAGACGACGAGCCTTGCCCCCCTTCACCTCTCGAGAGACTCAGACCCAACTCCTCCACGATCAGCCCAGGCGCCGTCAACAAATGCCACATGATCGTCGTCCCTGGTATCGGCATCATCCCCGACATCGACCCTGGGGGAGAAGAGAAAGAGGTCGAAGGAAGCGATGAGGGGTGGATGGATGTTGCGCCGCTGGGATAGAATAAATCTTGGGGTGTTTGTATTCGGGTTGAATTGGAGGAAGGGTTGGGTATGATGCTGGTAGGGCTTGAGGATTTCGATGTTGAGTTGGGATGGGTATGAGGGTATGAGGGTTGAGATAGTGATGATGAGGAAGAGGAGGAGGAAGAGGAAGAGTTCGGCGGATGTAGGTGATTGTTTGATATCGATGCGGACGTCTGGGTGCGCGATGGAGTACGAGACGAAGGCGCGGGTGATTTTGAGGGGGGCGAACGGGCTCGGGAGGATGGCGCTGACGAAGAAGGTGAAGACGGCGGAAGGCCCATGGGTTGCTTCCCATTGAAGCTTGCAGCGGAGGGTGGGGGAGTGGCCGGTAGATCTGGGGGTAGACACGAGGATGGATGAGGTTCTGGATTGCCTCGTCTTCGTCGTGCTGGACTGGCGGAGGCAGATCTGGAATGTAAGAGTTGGTTAGAGGAAAGATCGGAAGGTTGAATGGAGCTGACCTATATAATGCTCCGAACGCGTTCAACATTGCCAAGTTATCGCAACATAGGTTATGTGTTGCTGTATCAACAGGAGACGCGTCCGTAGCAACATACAGTCTAGATTTCGCATCGAAAAGGAAAGCTTTGGATGCTTGGCTGTTCTACGTGGATATGAGTAATCAGTGGCGAAAGAGCGAGGGGATATCACATACTGCACAATATGAATTCAACAACTCCTCGACATACGGCAACGAATCTATCAGCCTCTGCAATACGATTGAGAACGCCTGGTGTAATGAGTGATCGAAGATACTGGTCAAGTGAAAGTTCATCGTCATTTGTTGTTCAACGTATTCCATAAAGCTGCCTTGAGAATCTAGACTGAGCCCCATTCCGGCCGCGGATGGACCTACGCCTACGGATTCGGCTACATCGAATAAGCGATCCATGACACGTTCGTTTATTTGTCTGAAATTTTCAATCTTTTCGTCTTCGTTCAGTTTCTCGGCTTTGTGAACGAGGATTTCAAAGTTGAGGGAAGGGTTTTGGGTATAGGATGCGGCGATGAATTCGACAAGCCGGGAGATGGGCTGGTTGTAGAGGTCCTAAACAGGGTTATAGATAGATAGCTGGAGAGAAGAAAAACGCGTGCGTACTCGAATGTCTATAACGAAAACCAATGTAGAAAAGATGGACAAGGGAGAGCCAAGGGTTTCTACGGTGATATTTCCTGGACAGTCCCATATCTCGAGAGGAATGACAGTACTGGAAAGCGATAAGATAACGGGAAGAGAAGGGTTCAAAGATACGTACTCGTATGTATGCTTGACAATTCTCATAGTAGCATCCAGAAAGAAGGTCTCTTTCGGTACCATACTGTTGAAAAGTACTTTTTGAATAGAAGTCTTGCCACTCCTGCGTAGACCGAGCAGCAGAATCTTGGTTCGAGCCACTCCATCTGAAGACGACATTGTGAGTGAGAGGAAAGAGAATTATTTGAGGTCAGGTGTGACCGAGCGCGCCATTCACTATCTGTCCATTCTATTCCGGTCAAAACCTTATTTTTCAAGGCCCGCCTAGCTCAATCGGATAGAGCGTCAGACTCTTATTATGAGAAGCGGGATCTGAAGGCTGCGAGTTCGACCCTCGCGGTGGGCTATTGTCCCTCAAAGAGTAACTTTTTTTTTTTGTTCTTCATCCGCTCTGCATTCAAGGAAATCCAATGACCCTGATTCGCTCAATTATATACTGTACCTTCGAGCTGCGTAGCATGATACTGGTGGTAATTACTGTATACCCTTCTACTTAATTGCCTTAGGATGCAAAAGCCTCCTCCAGCAACTTAACTACCCTATACGAGCTCCCCCACGAACTTTGATATCCCGAGCCAGAATGACCATAATTGTGTATAAGCGAAACGCGCTTCTTCGTCTGCTCCGCACTGCTACTATCAATTTCTATATCCTGCGCCTCAATCCGAACCCCGCCATGTCGGGCTGGACGAAGTCCACAGCCCTCCTCAATAATGATGGGTTTGATCTTCTCCAGAAGATCGTCGCCTTCCATAGTTTTTGCTTCATCCGAGTCTGATCTCGTATTCGTAGTTGTCATGATGAGCGGATCGGTAGAGGGAGAGGACGACGAAACAAATTCGGGGCAAAGCTTTAAACCTCTTGTAAGGATGTCAAGCGTCGTTTCGGGGCGTGGAGTAGGATGGTAGTCGTTTGCGACTTTGATTCCCCCTATGACCACCTATACGCATGAGTCGTCAGAAGCTATAAGGATTGCGGGTTCAATGAACAAAAGTCCACTCACGTCCCCGCTCCGTCTCGGAATGATATACGTCCAAAGGTCATCTCCACTACTGATCGTCCTTCCAAACCTTATCCAAGGCGCACGAAGCACCACCGTCTGCCCGCGAAGTGCATACACGTTCGAGTCCTCGACACCACCGAGAGTTCGTGCGCCGAGCCCTGTGCAGTTGACGATCGCATCAACTGGAGCGGGATTGGTGTCTTGGGCTTGTAGTAAGGAATTGACTTGCGTCTCGACGTCGCGGATATGATCTACGTGCCCTTGGATGACTTTTCCTCCGGATTTCTTGAGCCTCTCGAAGAGATATGGGAGGTAGACGGGAACATCGATAGTAAAGGTGGTCAGGGCGACACCAGACCGGACACCTTGGGCTCTAAGGTCTGGAGTAAGGGATTCCGGGGGAAGAACACGGAACTAGTGGGAAGGGATATCGAATGAAGGACATAATAAATCAAGAGCGCAGCTCACGTTGGGATACCACTTCAAACGATGCTCCTCTCCTTCTGGTATTTCAACCTGATAATACTCGACCTGCTCTAACCTTAGGAAACACTTCTCCGCCTCACTTCCCGGTTCCGATAAAGCCCACATCGTTTTGAACGTCTCTTGGTCAATAGCAAGCTGTTCGGGATGTTCAAAAGAGTTGGTGGCAGAATTTCCATCGGCTGCGGAGAAACCTATATCGATCAACATCTCCTCGTAAGATTCAGCGATTGAAGGATCGATGATGGCTTTACCTGTACCGGTGGCATGAGATACATGATGTGCGCCTGCCCAGTGGCTAGTATAACCAATGGACTTTGGATCGTTGGGCAGCTGTGAGGCGAGGACAGTTACATTGTATTTGGTCTTTTCAAGGATGGAAATTGCTGTAGTTAGACCAGCTACCCCTGTACATCCAAGGATTATCAGTGCGCTAGACCAATTGTTGGGGAATGTAAAGTTTCACCTGCTCCCAATACTACGACGTGCTTTGAGCTCATTGTGGTAAGTCGCGTTCAAAGAACAAATCTCGAAATTGCTGTAGATTTATATCGCTGTCAAGTCACTGAATACGGATGCGGTCATACGGAATTCTGGCTCCGGAATTTCAACGGAATGCCTGTGGAACTCCGTGGATCCACAAGGTCTAAGTAGAGCTCGAATTGAGACCCAAGCCCGCAAAAAAAGATTTTAAAAAGGTTGAATTCTGAGTCCAACGGTGAGGTTGAGGCATATACTGTGTGCAATGATCGCGTTCAAAAAGCCACGTGACGATAGTCCAACTTTTGTTTCGCGACTTCCATCGTGTCGGTCGACCTCAGCCAAACCTCAGCGCTGGCATGTTTATGCCCTTCAAACCGCGAGTCAAGGTCGACACTGTTGTAATCAATGAACGGCTTCGGTCATGTTATGGTGTGACAGCATCGCAGGTCTCTGAAGTTCAGGAGATACTAGAGTTGTCCAAGCAGGATCGTGCGGACTATGAAAAGGAAATGAATCGCCTGCAGAGTGTCTACAAAACAGAGCTTGAACGTCTTCGAGCCGTCTATGAACAAGATCTTCATAGCATGCGCATACGACAGCGAGGGCTAGAGAAATACACCAGTACAATCTCCACACTCCTGTCGCCCATTCGGCGTCTTCCCAACGAGCTCCTATCTTACATTTTCATTCTATTCTGCGGGGTCAATGATTTGACTGGCAACAGGCCAGGTAGCAGGTCAGCACTAACGGTCAGTGCTGTTTGTTACAGGTGGAGGGAATTCGCGATTTCCCAACCGGTTCTTTGGACGAGCATAACGATTCACTGTAAAGAGTATGAAGAAATTTTGGATGTCCAAGCAGAAAATGCTCTGGCTCGTCAGGTTGAGCTCTACCTAGCTCGGTCCTGCAACAAACTTCTCTCTCTAGATCTCATTCCACGTCCACCTTATGCCGACCGTCCTGTTCTTCTAGCTCTTGCTCGAGAATCAAGGCGCTGGGAACATTTGTTGTACAGAGATGACAAATTTGGCACCTACCAAATACCTTGTTTCCAATCCCTGTCTCTTCCAGAGTTAAGGACTGTATATTTCATGAGCTCCGACGCGTGTTCCGGCGAGGTTATACCTGAGGGTGCCTTCAGCCTTGCCCCTAAAATCAAAACATTAGGTTTCGAGTCCATGTGCATTGAAGAAGTTCTGGGTGTATTTTCGTGGGACGGAATAACTGAGCTCGACTACACCATTTCATATCCCGACCTCGAAATTTTTGCTGTCTTAGAGCAGTGCACGAAGCTCCGTCGTCTTTCGCTAGTAGCCGACGATCCGCATAGTGACATTCCGAAAGCGGAGCTATCTTCTGGAACACTCTCAGAACTTTCTGTTCTTCAAATCCAGGATTCCTTTCATGCACTCGACTATGCAATGTCGAACCTCACTTTACCTCACTTGGTTAAGTTAACAGTTTCTGCTGGCCAAAAAGTCACTCCGAATCCCTTCCCTGTCTTGAATGATTTCTTTACACGCTCACAATGTCGGTTGACAAGCCTAACACTCAAACGTCTGGCTTTTACAGACGCGCAGATTGTGTCGCTCCTCCTCTGTCTTCCCTGTCTGGTGGATCTATCCTGCGAGGATCCAAACCGCACCGACTGCCGTCCCATTTCGACCCCATTTATCAAAAGCCTTCATAGCTGGGAACGAAGCGGTCTGCATTTTTTGACCCAACCTCTCGTTCCGAAGCTTTCTTCTCTCGTATTGAAGGTCGAATCTTTCTCGTTCGATTCCTGCTCTTTTGTTGACACGATTGCCTCTCGCTGGCTTCCAGACCAAGCTAGTGAAGCACAAATCGGTGTTTCGTGTCTGCGGTCGGTAGAGCTGCATTTACCAAAAGATATGGATGGAGTTCCTTTTGAGCAGTTGAGGCAGTTTGACAAGGCTGGGATGCGCATTGTCGTAAAATGTAGAGGGAATGTAGGTTATCTTGTTTGAGAGAGGCTATAGGTGATTTTTCCCAAGTGCCTATACGTACATTTGGGGTGATAGTAATTTTGATACTCTAGTCATAATCTTGTAATCTTGCGGGTTGCGACCACAGATGCTAATATTGGCAAAAAATGAGATGGAAGAGAAGAGATTGAAGTGGCTAACTCTGAGGTAGGGTAAATCGGGCGCCATCCTCGTAAGACTCTACCATTTCCAAAGGCAAAACCTAAATTCAACGTGAAACGCTACTTCTGCCTCTATTTTTGAAAGAGCTGTTTTAGCTACTATGAACGTCCTCAATGTCCCTGCGCGCAACATCAAAATCAAGGGTGCAATCGTTGACAGGCTGTTGTTGCCCATAATTGCGGCTTGAACGGGAAAACCTGTTGGTCACTGTAAGTGTAATGGAAAGGATCAAGACAGAAGCCTCGGCGAAAGGCTAAAAGGTAATGCCGATAAATCTCTTCTCTGTCCATTGCTTCGCCAACGTGCAAAGCACCTAGAATAGCTATTTTGATGCCTCGAAGAGCACGGCAAGAGCATGACGGGACACCGCAAACGTCGGCTATCCTTTGCCAGTGCCGCCACTAGAGCTGTCAAAATTCAGTTACGGACCTCCTGCGACAAAGAAAGAGCGATTCCGCGATACCATACACGGTTCAGTAGTCTCTGTCAACGCCCAAACTTTCCTTGTATACTATAACAGCTGTAAGACAGCTCAATCACATCGGAGACTCGGACTATCATCGCTCGGGGTGTACCCACATGCCACTGTAATTCACCACATTCTTCGCAAGTATAAAAGCCTGGTAGAGCTCAAATCAAATCTAGTAGACCAGAGACATGGTTCGCCTAACAGTTATCCCTTATATTGCTTTACTCTCTTTACTCCGTGCCTCCATAGCGGCCGGGATACCTGCTCGCCGTTCGATGGCCGTACACGACGCACGTACTCTTCCAGTATACTTTGCCAGTTCTGGTACTCCCAACCACAGTGAGCCCATCAACCTCAAGATCGCACTTACTGCCCAGGACACGACCGGCTTGGAACAGAAGCTCCACGAAGTTTCGGACCCAACTTCACCTTTGTATGGCCAACATTTGAGTTACGAAGAGGTTCGTATCTCTGTACGTGTTGCTTAACCTAGTGGGGGTGTTTACTGCCCCTTTCTGCAGACCAAAGCCTTCGCTGGTCCCACATCCGATAGCGTCGACGCCGTTACAGCTTGGCTCAACGAAAATGGAATAACCAACATAACTACCACCGGAGCTTTCGATGACTGGCTTGCATTTACCGTCCCTATCTCAACTGCCAACTTACTTTTTAATGCCGATTACCAGCAGTATACTGAGATCGGAGGCCCTACGCAGTTGACCAGAACTTTGGCTTACTCT